TCCGAAATCAGACGGTGGTAAGAAAAGCGGCGTAAAGCTTATTTATCACTGCATACCTGAACGCTAACTGAGCCATAAACCACGTGCGTAGGCAACTGTTTGAGCTCCACTTCACAACCCGACACATAAAATAAGACGCTGCCTAGCACCTCTGTGCCGCTGATCATTCCATCATAGTTGTGCCCTTCCAGTGATTCAAATTAGTGGCTTCGCTTACAGATGCCGAATTCTGGCCATCTTGACTTTGTTCTAGGGCATTTGCGGTGCTCGACTGCTACCGCCACGCCATCCATGTAATTCGACAGCAGAGGATCATCGGTACCGTTCCATAAACTCCCTTCATTTGCGCATGGCTGCCTTCAGTGTGCTTACTTATTTATCCACAGCCTGATTTCCGTAACCTGTAAAATGGGTCGACTGGATTCCTTTTAAGGTTTTAAGCCATTGTTACGGCCTAACAATTGTGCTTTAGAGAGGAACGAAAGTTCTATTTTTAAAAGCGCATGGATGTTTTAATTGACTCTAGATAGAAGATGGGTTAGCTAATAACTCCAATAACAGTGCCCTAAGCACTACAGTTTCGAACGCATTTTCTTTGCGGTCGGAGCAACTGAGCTAGTCCTCACCTGTTTCGAACAAATGTTATTACATGTATGACTTATTAATACTTTCAGTCAAACTCACTCTACATTAGATTCTTCGGATTACCGTTCCAGCTGCTTTTCTTCTATGCATTTGGCTACGGATTCCACCAAATGCTTACCAGCAACCGGCGTGGGCCTAGTGCCATGCGATGCCACCTCGCCAGAAGATCACAGTTTCAAGAAAGTTACACTTTATTTATTTATTTATTTTTCCTTGTTATAATATTCTCTCTAACCTAGGGCTAATTTTGTCGCAAGACAGTACTGAACATTATATGCGCGCCTAACCACAGTAGTAGGTGACAGTTGCTTTATACATTACGTCATCATCCAGAACAAGCTCACAGCCTGACATCAGCTGTCGAATGTGTGTAGCCTGATGACAGGGAGTAGCTGGACTCTGGTTTAATCGGACATCGACAACCCATCCCTGAGCAACACCTGCCTTTCTCACGCATCCTTCAAAGGTAGGGATGCACAAATCATTCTAGCTATTACCACGGCTGGGTCATAAATGCGTATTAGACCTCGTCTTATAATCCCATCACAACCACACTGGCTACCTTGCAAAACTTCGGAAAATACTCCACATTTAACCGGAATGAACAAATTAGTAGAATATATTTTCTGCACTTTTCATACCATCTGCGTACTTTCGGCCGTCAAAATGTGACCAGAAATAAATAAATGAAGCTTTTAGTCCCGAATTCATCGGGACACACCAAATCAGTCTCGCTGGAAATTTAGAAGCAATTATGTTGCGCAACAGACATGTTGCAATGCAATACTTCGCCCTGCCCATAAGTCGTACAAGTTGTAGAAACGGAAAACGCGTTCGTGCGAAGCAACCTCGTCAGTGTGTTGACGCTAAGCCGGATTTATGTAGGAGTGAGTAAACAGAAAAGGCACAGTAGGTGTGGGGTAACAATATACGAAGACAGAGATCAATTTTGTTGGACTTGTCGAGCAAACAGGGAAGCCTGACTTAGTGATGATGCCAGAGTGTAACTTTGGGTATTGTCTTTATCCCGTTGCCAGTCTCATCTGCCACTTCGCAGCGTTGCTAAGCGGACTTTAGTGGATTTTTGTAGGGAGAACACCTGCCAGGCGGAAACCACCACCAATTTTTCAACTTATGTTCAAAATGCGGTGCACTTTTCACTGACATGATCACATTTATATGAATCAGCCACGCATGTCCGAAAAGTTAATTTGTTGATAATTAACTACCTTGTTGAGAGATAGATCTTAGTGCGGCTTGGAAAAAGCCTCTAAACGTCCGTTGCTCGCGACCAATTCTTAGCAGTTTCGCGGTCATCGCGTTGCGCCTTCTGATCTGATTTCCGTTGCCTGCGTCTGTTTAGTTTTCTTCGCGTTAATAGTTTTCCTTTATTTTGTTGCAGCACTGTCTTCCGCGAACATAATACGGCAGGAACTTTTGTTGAAAGGTTTGGCGGTCGGTGTTCTGTACTGCTGAATCCAGCGCACGGGTTAACCTTATAGTGTTGTGCAGGGCGCCTATATCGCGGTTGCGTTGCCTGTTAGGAATGGCTTCCTAGATGCCTGTTCTCACGTCAACAGACGCAGCAATACTAAACTGATAGGTTGGCACTAAACTGTTAATAACACTGTAAAGCCAGAAAAGCCAACTTCTCCTCGCTTGAATATAGACCGTTGATGTAAACGGATTGGAACAACTTGCCAAACCAGAAGTAAAAAATAAAGTTGTTCAACGGCATCCACTAGACCTACACGTTTTTCCTCACGATAGAGCCATTTTGTGGCACCTGCGCATGCCAACCGTCAAATTATCCTGTGGTTGTTAACGAATCAGGTATGCCGTCAGTTGCTGAAGCTTAGCCAAATGACCAAGATCAGAGGTAACCCCCGTAAATCATGTGTACAATATAGCCGTTTGGAATGCGGGCAAGATATTTTCTTTTAGGAGTTGCCAACCCTGGAACCCTCGAAAATTCTTTGGTTCTTTTCCAAAATTGTATATGTTCAAAAGAGGATTGGACCTTTCCATTCACCCCCATCACTTCGTTGCATACACCGGGCTACATTGCAATGGTCTGCTTTTCCCTCCCAACCGGATTACCATGTTGCACATACCTTAAGAGGTGGTACAGGTGTGTGTAGTCTCGATTTAATTTTTCGCACGGAGTAAAACAAATATAACCGACCTCATTTTGTCTAGTAGTCCACATCCAATTCCCACCTACACTACCCTTATTCAGCAGCGGGTTCGCTATATAAAAGCTCATACATCCAACTCACCTATATTTTGAAAAGTTCAGTTTTAGCCCCACAATCCTGCCGGACTTGTTAAGTAACTGCTTTGTTACCCGGCATAAAGTATAGTTCATTGTTCCTTATTCATTACTCCTCGCCATGAAGTTGTGATGCCTGGTTGGGGATACATTCGGATGAGTTAGTCTGTAATTGACATGAATCAACTGGCTCTATAGCCATCTTAACCCCTGGTTTCATTTTCGTAAGGTAATTATCCGAGTACAGACACTCCGAGTAATTTGGCACACCGGGCTAGAAAACAGTGTAAGGTATCATGGTAGTTAGACGGAACAGCAACGGTCAACGGAGGCAAAGTCTCTGTGCGACGCAACGTACTGATCCAACTAAAGAGGAGCATTCAAGACAACAGAGAAGAGCATGTTAAATTCTGTCTGACAAACGCAGTACATTTGAGGCAAACCAGAGTAAAGTGCTGGACCACAAACCTGGTCAATCCGGCGCGCTCATTAAGTAAAGCTATGATCTGAAAAGGCTGCACTGTCTAATAAGACAAGAGCTTATTTGGGTTTATGCTAGGTTGCACAAAGCAGGGCAGTGTTCATGGGTAGTGCTTCAAGCGCCTGTCCAAAACACAAGCCTTGCCAACCGCTATTGCAACGGAAGCAACTATTTTATATACTTGAAGCATTTGCACGGTTTACAAATTCGGTATGTCGTGGGTCTTAAGGTACGAAAAGCGCCGGAAAAAATTTGACATATGATCTTCATTGAGGGACGTATATGCCACTAGTCCGACGAACGACCTCCTTTTGAAGTGCAATAGTCTTCTTTTTTCTTGCTGCTAAACGTTTTCAAGGATGTGACAATCCACAAAGATTGCGGCCGTAGAAAGATCATGCGTGCCACCAAGCCTAAAACTTCGGCGGTACCCACACTAGTCGTGAATGATGAAGTGCGGTAGCCGTCAACCAGGGTAAAAAACCATCACTTTTGGTTAGTACGTCACGAACAATTATGTCGAAGAATCCTAACTACGGCTACTGAGAACGGGCTACAGATTAACTAGCGTTCATGCGCAAAACATACTAGCAGGTTCCGTGAGATGTCAAAATGGTGAAACCTAAGCTGTCATTAGGGAATTTGGAGCAGATGTCAGATAAGCAGCAATAACGAAGTCAGTGCACTTGACGTCAAGTACAGTGGAAAGCCTCACTGTTATACATTCCTTACATAAACTGTGGTTTTTATCTCATAGGGCAGGCAAGCGCCGGAATCAGATGGTGTTACGTAGAGGACAACAAACAGGTATGTGGCAACTGAATTTCTAGCCGTCTCAGAAGTAGATTCAAGTAAATGAGCCAAGAGGGCTGAGTTCCACTGAAGTAGAAATGATGTCTGGTGCTTTTTAGGACTGCGTTGCTGCTGTTTGCCGGAAACCAGTACAAAGGTGGCCTTACTGGGAGAGCCGTCCATGTCGAACCCGGTTACCCATATTATGCCCGCGATATTTCTCTACTGATCATTTATTAGAGTGGGAATCTACGCTTGGGGTTTCCAGCGTCACTTGGATGCAATTTGATGCCAGTAACAACCCTTCCCCATATCTTAACCGACTTCTATCTATCTATCTTCGTCCATGCTGGTTCTAATTTCCCTCAAGCTTTTATATTATTAATATTTGTTTGGCATTTCCCCTCTCATTTTCTGAGTTTACTATTGGTACTTTTTGCTTTATGCCACGAGCACGGCATGGTCTACTGCACAGCTGCGGGCAGAAACTGGTTGGCCAGGGTGTGCTGCTGCATTGTTTTAAAGTTAGCAAAGCATAAATTGCTTTATAAGCTCCTGTTTAAACGTCAAGCAAATAATGAATTTTTACCAGATTAGCTTGTCGTTCCAGTCCTGGTTGAACTTGAATTTGTCCGATATGGGCAAAATGTTTTAAAGGTGATTTCAAGTTAAGCTTTGTATGAAACAAAACACAGATGAGCTTACCTTAGCGCTGCCTACACGATTTTTAGTACATCCTTGTATTCACTGCTATTTAGCCATGCTCCTCTGCTTCCTAAGTAGTCAGTCTAGTTGAACGCCTCCGCGGGAATGTCGGCCGCACCTGCTAGGCTTCAAAAGGTTTGTTTTTTCCTTTTATCGTATTCCCTTTCGATATTGTCAATGTATGGAAGTGGGAAGGGAAAGTGCCTGATTGAAATAGGTGGGTAAGGATAACATCATCCAATGAAAAAAGGAAGCGAAAGCGATTGATATTACATCCACTCAATGAACCTGTTGCCGTGACGCTCGCGTGACGTCGAAGTGCCGGGGGTCGCTTCACTTACCGGCACAAGAACTGGACGCTCGTTAGGCGGAGGCCTCTATCGTCCATCTGACCTGACCTGACCTGGACCGCCTACATTATCCCCCACTTAGCAGGCACTGTCTTCAGCGCCCATAATGGCCCATACCAGCATCAATTTATGCACATGCGAGAGGCATTGAGCGCAGTATATTAGGCTCGGGAGATTCCACGACAATCAGCACGATAGAGAAGGTTAACCATTGCCTACGATGCTACAATCCAGCTTCGTGGACTGCTGTCGTGACCTGGCAGGATCGCCAAATATGTAATATTCCTTCGATCCGGTGTTCTGTGCTCTTCCGCGTCCATTTAGTGCGACAAGCTGCAATGCAAAATAAATACCTCGTAGACTGCTGGATACTCAACCACTTAGTAGGAGGCCGTTGTAAAGGAGACAGCTAAGAAAGCAAGTAATAGGGAAGGGAAAGTGCCGGAGTGGAATAGTAAGGTAAAGATAACAGGAAGCGAAACCGATTGACCTCACCTGTTAACGTGTTACCGTGACGCCCGCGGACCGGCTAAAGTCATTGTCAGTACATTATCCCTTATACGTAATCAGCACATGTTGTGCGTCTATCATGTCCGCACAGGCGCACTGTCAGCTGTCCCATTTGGGCTCGTTCTTGCTTACTCACGGAGGGAAACGAAAACTATGGCAAGGAATGGCGTTATTTGCCTAGAAATATTATAGTGCATCAATAAGCCGTTACTTTTGAATAGTTTCGGTCATTTACTTTGCTACGTGATCGCTAGCTTTCCGCCGATAAACGTTTTTTTGTGCCCCTGGCCTTCCATAGAACGGCCACTGCAAAACAGGACGGGACCCAGGGACGGAACAAGCTTCGGCATAACGAGCGACCGGTTTCCTGTGCCAGTAAGCGCAAAAGAGCCCACATCACTGCGACTTGAAAAATATATGGAACGCTTCACAACTTTAAGTGCTACTCTATGTCTATGCTACTCTCCTCTGTATCGTACTAATTTTAGTATGTACCGCCGAAGCGAGTACAACAAAAGCACCGGACGCGTTTCGCCCTATTGGTGCTCGTCAATAGTGCGCATTCCCTCGGTCCCCTACTGGGGATCAAACCCATGATCGCTAAAGGCGGATGCCAGCTAGCTAGCAGCTTAAGCCACTAAGCTATGGGGGACATTTTTAGGACGAATTTAGGTCATTCACAAATTTTCATGTGTAACTATGGCTCAGGTGTTGCGGGATTACTATTGTAATCAATTACCGTTTTTTGAGGGTACACTGCTAGCACGAAGTCCAATGAGATTCCAAAATAAGTCCCTAGTAGACGCGATTCGGACTGCCAGTGGACCGTGAGAATAAGTTTCCGTGGCATCTCTTTGCCCAGTATCTGTTTACCTTGCTGCATTGCTTTATATTTCTTATTATTCTGCCTCACCTGCTGCGCCACTTTATTGCCCTATTAGCACCGGTACCCGACGATTGCACGGTGAGTGTAGTGGGTAACGGATGAACACCCGATGGGAGCCCGTGGCAAAAGGTTATGTCACTCATCGGGCTCTCGCCGAGAAAAATTGTGTGGGTCCCCTTAGAACGCCCATTTTCCTCCAGGTTTTTCCCTCTGTAGTAATAACGGCTACCTTAACTCCCTTCCAACATCACTGACCACACGTTCTTACAGTTCCACACATCTGGCGAGGGAGTGTGTTCCTGCACACACATCTCATTATTATGCACATATATGCCGTTAACCGTAATATATGTCCACATACCAAATATCGGCTTTGTACTTGTTCATCTTGGCTCCTGAAGCTCTTTCTACTGGCTCTTCATTGCGTAGATTCAAGTTGTACACTTGTACTAGAGCAATCAGAGTGAAATCGATTACTTCGGTGACGCATGAAGGAACCGCTTGAATGCTAACTGCACGTCCATGGTCGTACACAGTAACCTGCAGGTAAACCGCTAAGAATGCGGTTCCGTCTCATAAAAAACATTTGGCATGCATAAAGCGATTTCACTGTATTTTGTGCAAACGGTCGCACTCGTAGATGTCACGCCATATCCTACAACAAAAGACAGTTAATACCTTAAACTGGCTTGAAATTTTCAAGGGTCCGCTAACAGTCCCAGTCAGAATCCTAGCGGTATCCTGACTGTACGGCAATGCATTGGTAGGGTAGCGATTTCATGGTATTTAGAACAAACTATCTAACTCAATAATTCCCCATCGAAAATTGCGCGCCATATTCTATAACAAAATGTAGGCATCACATTTAACCGGTTGCAAATTACCGAGAGTTCGCCAACAGTCCGAATCGGACTACCAGCGGATTTATGACAATCCGACTGTGCTAATAGGCTGTTTGCATGCAGGAAAATGCATTCACGGTAAATGTTAGTGGTGAATTAGAAAAAGTTTCTGTGACCGAAATTCCTCCCAAAGGTCTCATTGAAACGGCGAAGGTGTCAGCAGTACACCGGTGCGCCGTACCGACGCTTCGCTGCCACGCATCCACCACCAGTAGCGCCCGGGCTAAGGCTATTGCGAGGGTCTCTCGATCCCCCACGTAAGCTCAAACATTTGACCTCTGGGTTGCAAGGCAGTCGTCTTGTCCTTTCGGCCACGGGCCAGCTAGGTGTACAAAAAGCGGTCTCACGGTGCTCCAACAGTCACTTAGGCGTAATTTTTTTCGGTCACTCGTGTTATGCGGGTAGCTGTGTTAACTGTGAAAATGATTTCGAATTTTCACGTCCATTAAGTATACTCAAGTTCAGCTGAGACTAGCGATTCCCTTGAATGTTCCTTTTTGAGCGGATCGGTAAACCAGAAGTTGATAAGGTGCTCAGTGATCTTTATGGATTTAAACCGGAATAACCGTAAACAAATTACTGCCCATGTTTTATGCACTTGCAGTCCCTTTGGTGTCAATTACTGATACTGACACTGATTAGAAGCAGCGAGTAGAGCATACTCTGTGTAGCTGCATCAATTGTCGCTCTTGGACATTAACGCATTAATTATCGTTCCGCTCTCTGTATTTTGCCTCTGCAAAGTGTTTGTCTAGAAGCTTCTTAAATTCGGTCACTGAATTCGCCTCTATTACCGTCTGCGGCAGGTCGTTCCAGACAATCACCACTCTACGTTCGAAACAGAGTTGGTGAGCGACCCGCTTCAACTGCGGTACGATAAGTTTGTACTGGCGTGCTGCTTGGTGTGCGCAGATGAAGCAGTTGTCTCAACATGGGGTAATCACTCAGATGTAATATCCGGTGCGTCATGATGAAGTCAACCCTCAGCCGACGATATGCTAGGGTGTACATCCCTAAAGTATGCCAGATGTAAAAACAGCAATCGAAGATAAAGGATAAGCATGGTCGTTTAGAAAATGGATGGCACCAGGGGGGCGTCAGGGTGCAGTAAGGAAAATCGTAGTGTGAAGAAAAGTGTTGCTAAGAAGTGAAAATCTTTGTATTGCTACTCAAGAGCGTTCAGGTAACGTTCAAACCGCTTAATAGTAGATTTCCTGACAACACTTTCTGGAAGCGAGTTCCAGCTGGGTTTCCACCCTACTTCAGCCGGGTCGCGGTTTGTCCAGCTTTGTGGAATTTCCTTGGATACCAGACAACCTAGTGGGACTAAATAACCGGGGCAACTTCTTAAGTTAAAGTACGTTAGCTTAAAATAAGCTCACTAATACTTTGATAGCGCATTAAATCCATTCCCAGGCTAACTACGACCTCGGCATACATTCGTCTCCGTAACCCTTCGACCAACCTAGTATCCACCCATAAAACCCTCTCATGCTCCATTTTGTCTTGGACGAAGCAGGGCGGACAAGCCCAGTATTTTACACACTCATTATACACGCTAGATGCGGGTGGAAAACAGCTCAGCTATGGTGTCGCAATACAAAAGAAAAAGAAATGAAACAGTGACACGCCAGCTGAGTCACCAGTAACGGATGCACATCGTTCCAAAGAGCTTATAGCCGGCTATTGTGCCGCACAAACTCATAAACTGCCTATCAATTGAGATCCTGCTTGGAGGAGGAAGCTAAGCGGAGGGGGATGGACGAAGGAACTCACAACACAAACGCCACTGAGGTCGGCTCCTAGACATGTCAACAAGTGTATCCAACCAAACCTGTTCATCGTCCTTCGGTCCCCAATCAGGGAGCCGAGAGGCTCCAACCTAGGCCAACTTCGAAGTAAGGGCCTTCATTCCTCTTGGCCACCTCTCCTCTTCTTCCATCCGCACCCCTGGCGCGCAAACAGTGCACGTCGCGGGAGTCGGTGTGCTGGCATGCGCAAAACCTGGCCCAGCCATCGGAGCCTGGTGCGTGAAATAACGATGCTGAGTGGTTCGCTTTCCCTTCCTGCGCCATAATCAAGGCGTCAAACCCGCTCAATGTTCACACGGTGTTCCCACTAGATATGAGCCAAACAGCGAAGTCACCGGTAGTAGAAACTAATTAGCCTCTTTATGTCGGCTGATCTGAGGGGCCAGGTTTCACAACGTACAGTAGGATCGAACGTACTGCTGCATTGTAAACTCTACACTTCGGAGGGAGAGTGATGTTGCGCCGGCGTTATAAGTCTCGAAGGTTAGCATAACCGTTTCAACCTTTCGTTATGCAGTTCGTGACCTCGTCTTCAATTCCAACGGCGCTGACAAAACTACCTAGGTAGTTGAACTTTTAAACAACTTCTAGCTGATCCCCACCAAGGGTCAGCGCAGGAGGCCGTCTCTGCCAATCTTGAAGGAAAGCTTTGCACTTGAAGGGTGAAAAGCATAGC